GTGGTTATTATCCAATTTCTTCTATTTTTAAACTGTATATGGAAATGTCTGAAGGAAACGACTCTATAGAGTTTGGTTGACATAGCTGTAGCAGTTTCCGAGATATGTACAAAAAACTTAGTAGGAGCCGGGGCTACGCTCTTCTTCTCACTACGCTCACTTTTCCAAAAAATTACGGCCAAATATGCCCCTCCTTAAAGCGATCCTTTGTGCAAAATTTCACTTTAGTATTTATGGCTTAGTTATGACACTTTATAGGTTTACGGTTTTCGCCATTTTGTGGGCGTGGCAGTGGGCCGATTTTGCCCATCTTCAAACCTTTTATGGAGCCAAGAAATACGTGTACCAAGTTTCATCATGATATCTCAATTTTTACTCAAGTTACAGCTTGCACGGGCGGACGGACAGACGGATAGACGATCAGACGGACAGACGGACGCACGGACAGAGAGACATCCGGATTTCAACTCCACTCGTCACCCTGATCACTTTGGTATATATAACCCTATATCTGACTCTTTTAATTTTAGGACTTACAAACAACCGTTATGTGAACAAAACTATAAACTCTCCTTAGCAACTTTGTTGCGAGAGTATAAAAATAGCATACGTATATACAATAGGTTACAATTTTTTCATAATTAACAATCAATTAACATTTACCTTCAAGAGTGTCTTTCTGCAAAATCCTAAAAAAAAAAAATAAATATAAGTTATTATCATTTTTTTAAAAATTATTGTTACGAGTATAAGTAGATAATATTTCTATGTATTTATTTCATACTCGTAAGTTCAAGGTAGCTCTAGGTAAAGACCACATCTGTACATATGTATATACCGTTTTAAAATAAATTGTGCTGAAGGTTTTGCTATGTCTTCCATGGAATTTACCGGGAATAATCGACTACAGGTGGCTTATTTATAGCCAAACTTTTTATTTAGACCTGTACTGCCAACAATTGGTCCGTCTGAAGGAAGTAATCCCCCAGGAGCGACCAGCCTTAGTCAATAGGGATTGAATGTGTTTCAAATAGGACAACGCCAGTCCACATATTATTATAGTGTCCTCCAGAAGCTCCGGGCTTTTGGTTAGGAGGGTATTATGCACACACCTTATAGTATATCGGCTATTTTCTATCGTAAAACTTTTGGATCTCATTTTTATAACATTTATTTTCAATATCAGAGCAAACTTTGTTTTTATATTCTGCTAATACGCTTGTTGGCTTGTTGCCAACGTTTTTTCAAATCCTCGAAACAGTTGTTAAAATATCAATTTCCGGATTATTCGCGCGTACAAATTCACCTTTAATGTCTTCAATTGACTCAAAACGGCTTAGTCAGAGCGGTTGTTTGAGTTTGTTGAATATCCAGAAGTCACACGGAGCTAAATTATTCAAATACGATAGTTACGGTATGATATTGGTGAAAAATTTGGCGGACAACTCATGAATAATCAATGCAGTATGCGACGGTGCATTATCGTGGTGCAAACCAAGTGTCGTCGTCGGGTGTGTGCCGGTCTGTCCGCCCGTGCAAGATGTAATTTGAGTAAAAATGAAGATATTTCGATGTAACTTAGTAGACATGTTCTTTGGCAAAACAAACAACCCGGCATGATATGAGAAGGCTTTAGGGGAGCCGGGGTAGAAATTTAGGCGAAATCACATATCTCGGGACCCGACCGACCGATTTCGACTAAATTTAATACGTGGAATTCCCATGTCATAGTGCGAAAATGGGCAATTTAATTTTTTATTCTTTCACTTTTAAGTACACAAATCTAGAAGCAATTAATATAACGGTGTAAAACATGGAATTTTAAACTCTTTAAAGTATGCTTATTGACCAAAAATTGTCCAAATCCAGCCGAAACTGTTCAATCCCCTAGGTACCGAATATGTGAACCACAGTACCTTTAGTTGTCTTTTTCTCGGTCAATGTGTGAAGCATGCAATTGAAATTCAGGGTTAATCCTCTCTGTCTATGATTGGTGATAGTATGTGAAATATGAAACCCAGGGAACATTTTTTAGTATGTGGCATGTTATCAGTATGTGGTATTGGTAAAAAATAGATAATATCGGGTCGACGATTAACTTAAAGTTTGCCAGCACCTGCAGGAATTTTTGATCTTTTCAAGTTACAGGAGCATAAAATGGTCGGTTTCACCCGAACCTAGCCCCTCCTTACTTGTTTCCTTTAATTTTTATTAAGATCTCAGTACACTTCAGATTACATGCTTGCAGTCAAGTACGCTGGTTAAGCGACTTGCTATAGCATATGAAGGTTTCAAGGTCCAGAGAGTTCTTTTATATTTCCTTCGTTAATTCGCATCATTTTAGGGATTTTAAGTCGTATCAGCTTGATGCCACGATCGTCAATAAGTGGATCAAGTTTTTAGCGGTCGTTCATAGGGAAAATTCTAACCAAAGCAATTTTCAAATTTTTAACTCAGTTGAAATTTTTTACTGCATTTCAAACAATGGAAAAAATTCTGTAATATCATCGGTTATTCGATGGCGCCGAAATAACTAACGCCAGCTATTTGACAGGCTGTTCGTTTAATTTTCTCTCTTCTTATATTGCTAATCCCAAATTGATCTAAAGTAATCCATAAAACTTTCACTAACTTTGATAAATAAATGGTCTTAACGCTTAAAAAGTTGCAGCATGAAATTATTTGTGTTTTTCTCCATAAATATTTTTTCTCTCTAATGAAGAAGGTGCGGTCAGCACTTTATCGAAAATTAATTCATATGGTAATCGTGCTTTAGAAGTAATCAAACTAATAAGAAAATGTGCTTACGATCTCAAAAGTGCTGTACTATTTCAGCATGTTCGACATAGTGAAGAAAAGTTAAAAGAATTTCTCTCCAGAAACAACATCATAAAAGTTTTAAGTCCATTAGTTTCAAGATTTTACGTAACATAAATTTACATAAAATTTCACCATTTTCCAATTAGTGGTTTTTGTATAAAAGCGTGTGAAGTGCTCTCAGAGATTATAGTTTATTATAGAAAAGATGCACGAGAACACAATTTCATTTCTACTTTTGGGTGAGTTGGCAAATCATTTTGATTAATAATAAATTTTTTTACGTCTCCTTTTTCTGACAGTCCTTTTTGTGGCCTTTGTGGTGACGACTCCGACTCAATTAACGAAAGAAGTTTCAGATATAACAGAGGGTCGCGCAGTTGTTAAGAAGGATTTGGGTCAATTGAGTGAGAAGGAACAAAAACTAATTGAAATAAACGTGAATTCTACCAAGCAGGTGAAAATAGTTAATACAACCTTGGAATCTTTGGCTGAAGCAGACACAGATACCGTTACAATAGAAGCTGAGGATGTCAAGAATACTACAGATAGAAATAAGGACGGAAAAACAGAACCGTCAGCAGTTTGTGAAAATGTTGCGAGTAGACCCGAACTACAGCAACATCGGAATAATTTGATTGCAACGCCGAAATTTCATCATGGCGGCAGTAAACCTTATTTACAGGTAGTTGTACCCACACAATATCCATATACTACAAGGCCGCCACATAATTCTGGTTATGATGGAGATCACGGCTATGGCGGGGATTACGGTTACGGCAGTCGTCCTGGTTATGGCGGTTATTCTGGTTATGGTGGCTATCCTGGTTATGGCGTTTATCCGGGTTATGGCGGTTATCCGGGTTATGGTGGCTTTCCTGGTTATGGCGGTTATCCGGGTTATGGTGGCTACCCTGGTTTTGGTTATCCGGGTTTTGGTAATTACCCTGGTTATGGTTTTGGTGGTTATCCGATATTTATTTATCCAAATGGAACAATTGTCAGATTTCCATTTGCAAGTTCTCGTGCACTTAATCTAGAATCACAAACATTTTTAGAAAAATCAAAATTTCACGCTGAAACACTAAGAACCACCACTGAGGCGAGTGTGGTGAAAGAAAAAAGCGGAGAGAAGGAATCACTGCCAACATTCTTTCGTTTTTTAAATTTTAGTTAATTTTGGAAATAAATAAATTCGTTAAGTTGCAAGATTCAAAATAAAGCTATATTACTTTTATTCGCTTGAAAAAAAAAAATGATCTCAATCAACATTTGCCATTTACATTTTTTTAAGTTATTAAGAAAGCCGCAAAATACATATTCAATGGAGCAGTTGCTATTCTCTGACTTTGTTTATTGCTTGGCTGCGCTGAATCAGACAATACCGAGGTTGGATATTCACATCTGCGACTTTTATGGACATACTCGTTTGGATTATGTGTGTATGTAAATATGCGTGCACTTGAAGCGAAATATCGGGGTGAGCCGCTTTATTATGTGCGAATATGCGGGTTGTTGGCACATTACTCATCCTGCAGCCAAGTTTGAAACGTGTAATGAATTCATTGTGCGCATACTTGTTTTATAGCCAATATTTTATACTTTAAAACGTTTATAATAGCTATAAGCTTCTGTTTTTCACCAAGGCAGGGCAAATATTGAAATATTATAAAAGAGCGATGTGTAAACATTGGTGTTAGGTTAATGTGCTTTTTGTTCAAACCAATGACAAATGAAACGATCATAAAAACTTTCACCAAAAGTTCGTACAAAAATGGGACAAGTCTACTTATTTTTCAGAGGCGATGATTCAATTTACTATGACATCTATATAACCGATCCTCTAATGATTCACTTTCAAAAACAAACGTTAAGAAAACTACGGAGATAACTACAAGGTAAGTTCCAAAGTAAACAGGACTTTTTGCATCTAGTGTCCCCTGGTGGTGCCATCTATATGTCGACTGGTGCATTAGAATCTGCTATCTTTATCGATTGTTCAGTGAGAATTTCAGGATATTTCATAGATTGTAAGTGAAGTTTTTGCGTTTTAAGTGTCAGTATGTTTGTATTATCGGTGCGAATATGAGCTTCGAAGAAAGAGCCAACATTAAATTTTGTATTAAAATTGGTAAAACTGTTACCGAAACGTTTCAATTGATGAAACAAGTTTATGGCGATCAACATGTGGGCCAATCGAAATCCGTGATCACCAGAAATTCCTTCAAAATAGTGGATGAATTGATCAAAAATCAGCCGAAATCATGACTGCAATTCACGGAAATGGAATTGAACATCTTCAAAACATCGATTTATCGCATTTTGACGGAACATTTGGGCTTACGAAAGGTGTGTGCAGAGTTTGTTCAGCACAAATTGACTGACGACCAAAAATTGCTCAGCATCCGATTTTACTGAAAAAGCCATTTGTTCTGTTGTTTTTTTTAAGTCCTGTTTACTTTAGAAGGCACCTTGTGTATGTTTCTAAGTAACTACAAAAATAAATATCGGAAAGAGGATGAGACTGAAAAAGTGGCAGAAGTTGACATCGAATTTGAAATTTCCTAAATCTCTAAAGCATTTTAAACATTTGCTTCCATTATCCCCTTCTCTTAACGAGGGGATCCTGTGTGTGTCTTAAGCCAAGTTCCATTGAAGGAAATGTCATATAATTAAAATAAAAATGTTTTTTTGGATAAAATTTGTTAAACTCCCTTAACCTAGTGAATATTGTTTAAATTATATATTTTCAGTGTTTTTAAATTGTGAAAATCTATAATTTCAATTCTGTTCTGTGCCGCATTTATTTATATTTGTAGCAACAACATCTTATTTCAACTAAGTTTCATATGACTGAATGGATTTTAAATGTTTGGGAAAAAAGTCACGACGTATTTTATCCTATCAACAACTTTAGAACATTTTAGAAAGGTCAGCTTTCATAACAACCATTGTCAGAGAAAAATATGTTGATATGAGTCGTAGTGAAAGAACAAAAAACATATAGAAAATATCAAAAAGTATGTATCGCATTGAATTTCTACCTCGTTTTGAACGGATTAGTTTACATGCTAGCGGTGATAGCAAACTCAAAATCGTATAACTACGGAATAAGGTGATTAACGCTCTCTATTTGATTCGAACCACTCCAGTGGGATCGTTGTTCGATTGTCATTCCGATGATGAGATGACGGCTTGCATGAACCTCAACTTACCAACCTTTGCTTTCCCACCTTGTTTTCCGCAAAATGCCACTCGAAGAACGAACTTTAGTCCAAGACCCTTCAAACAGTTTCAAATTTTATTTCAATGATATCGATCGGTCTAATTAATTTTTGTACACATATTATATTTTATATATGAAATAATTTTAGTGAGGTATATTTTGGACTGATATTTAAGTGTAGGGCATTACCACTTAAGAATTTTATCAATAAACAAATAAACCACTTGATTCGGTTGATCACATGTTATAAAACATTTTACAAAACATGACAGGTGAATGGTAATTTTGTAAGTATGCACAGCGCACACAATTGCACTTGAAGTAGTTGAATAGTTTAACTAAGTAAAATACCGAAATCAGAAGTAAAAAGTTATAAAAACTCAAATAGTCAGACCCTAATGTTTAGGCACTCAACCTGTTCTTTTATCATATATGATAACAATGTTATGTCATCTTTGGATATTATTTTACATTTGTGTCATTTTGGCTGTGTCTCCGTTTCATTAGACTTTTGATTAAAAATCTTGCCATCAATTGATCACATTTGAATTGTTTTTAATTCCCAACTCAGGCAAAGAGTAATCAATTTTTGTTTCTTTCCTTTATTTTTCCTATGTTTGCTCATGCCAAACAGCTCTTGAATGCAAATGTGTTGATAATTAATCAATGGTAAGAAGTTATACTCATTCGAGTAATTGCGAGCTTTAATTTCAGATATATGAGTAAACATCTGTATATACGTACGTATATATGTATATGTATGTGTTGTATGTGTAGGATACATACAGTATGCAAATAAATTTGTGACAAATTCTATATTCTAATGAGTAACTTTGCAACCGGATTATATCCGTTTGTAAACCATACAGCTTTGAGGTCGTCATTTAATTACTAAATATATAGAAACCAGCATTAGAAATATATATGCTTTTGTGAAATTATAGAAAAATTACGGTCCTGCATACAGTTTCAGAAAATTACACTAAATCCTGTAGTGCGAACTATTTTCTCAGAATATATACCACAAATCACTTTAAAAAAAGTATTTTTTCTGATCTTCTTTAGGTCGTCTTCCGATTCAGCAATTTTTGTTCTTCCACAAATCCGGGCCTTTTTTGGCGGATAACTTGCAGGTAATATTTTTTATTGGCAGCAATCGAAGAAAACTGTAAGCTAAACCGTACAAAAATCAAAGACCAAGAAAAAGCTGTCAAAAACTGGCTAAACATTCAAAATGACAGACCATGTCATAATTAAGAGATATTAGTACCAACATAACGCAAAAAAATAGAAAATCGAATGTACGTAGCCAACGAAATTCAGAATTTGCGAAATTTTTTGTACAAACCTCGTATACTGTACTGTTACTTAATCAACAAAAAAAAAAAAAAAAAAAAATAGCCGAAGATTCCTGCTGAGTTCATAAAGCGGTAATGATATATCATACTACTTTAAACTATTGAATACAGCAAAATATTTTTTTATGAATTATCAATATTTTCCATTTTATTTTAACTTAGAACTATTAATTGCACAAATATTCTTAGTTAATCCGTTCTTAGAAAGCACATAAAGATTCGATGGTTTTGTCAGCAGACAACAGTTGGCCATGGGAAAAAATTAACTTTCCTATTTTAATTTAATTTTATTTATAGACATTGCTAAGTGCAGCCTCTAATCTAACTTTTCTCTATAATTCGAAGTATCTTGTCGGGTTTATTCTTGAAGAACTCTAAAATGGGTTTGGTGGATAAAATTTGGTATCTAATCGAAAAATCATTATCATTTCCTTTCGTGACATTATCGGAAAAGTTCAAATACATTGCTTCTATCTGCCATAAATCTCAAACAATTAAGATAACCAAGATACCATAACATTAATATTATAAGTTTGACGATTTTATTACCTATTTAGTGCAAATGACATTCGTAAGCATTTAAAATAAATTTATATTTATTTGTCGCCTATTTATTGGAAACTTTCATAAACCATTTGTGACTAATTAGTACAGATATTATGAGGATATGAATCATTATACGTTACACACGTTTTCTTTGTTCATATGTTGTGGTGCGTACTTTCGTTTGAAAAGTCGAAATATTTATTCAGTGATAATGTTCCTTGACATGTTGCACATGGCAATATTGACACATTTCAATCCCGATGCCTCTTGAATCATTATATTGCCAGTCATTGAATATAAATATGCTTTGATAACACTGGTCAACAAATTTGTAATTTTTTTTTTGTCACAAGAAAATTTATATCAAATTTTGAATATACTAGGGCCACCAAATAATAATATATCAATGAAACAAAAAAATGTACACATCATGTTTTCTTGTGACATCAAAACATATATTTTCGTAAAAAGTGCAAAATTCAGAGACACCTACACAATTATTTCCTAATATCTAATAGATACTTATGATTTTCTTGAATATTTGGCTTCCGGTAGGTCCCTTTTAAGTCTCCAACTATAGTCTGCTACCATTCCTAGACTCCATTTTCCTTGCCCAAATTTGCCTGAAAGAAATCCAGATAAGAGTCCAGCATATGTATTTTCAAGGACATCTTACACCCCAAAGCTTTAAATGATATCATAAGTTCATTTATTAAATCTTTGTAATTTTCCGCTTTATGGTTACCTAGAGAATGTTAAACAACATTCACAAAACATTTCCAGGCGAGTTTTTCTTGATCATTCAGTTTTTCTTCAAAGCTCTTATCTTTCATCAATTGCCGTATTTGTGGGCCTACAAATATTCCCTCTTTGATTTTCGACTCGAAAAGTTTAGGGAATTTCTCTTTTAGATATAAAAATCCATATCCATCTTTAGGCATAGCTTTTACCAAATTTTTTATCAGTCCAAGCCTTATGTGCAACGGTGGTAAAAGTATGTCATCAGGGTTCACTAGATGATCATTTTTAACATGTTTATGGGCTGGA